TATCTGGGGCGTTATTCTTGACTTTCTCTCGAGAGAAAATTTGACTGTGTTGACAATTAAACAGTGCATTAACTGTTAACAATGTCAAATTTTCTACCTATGTAAAGTCAAGAATAAAGCCTCAGGGGAAAAAAATCGGAAACGCAAACCAGATTAATTTTTTTTGACAATATTTTAGGTTATAATTTTTCAAAAGTGACAGTTGATAAAATTTCTCTGGTTCTCCATCCATCCATCCAGGGTCCTTATTCTTGAAACAGGGCAGCAGCGTTCCCAGGAGAACGAGTGTTTCGTTTTTGTTACCTATATTATCATTTGCATATCATTGAGAAAGACGGAACACTCGTTCTCGGAACGCTGCTACCCTGTTTCAAAAATAAGGACCCAGAGAAAAGAGAGCGAGCTAGGGTACGTGGTCGATTGTAACCCGAACGCAAAAGAGAACACTCTGAGTGATAAAACGAACAGGATCTTATGGTATCGAGCGCGCTCAGAGTTTACAGAGTGTAAAGCCGAACACAGTTATTCTTGTTCTGTTTCACGGCTTTCTAATCTAAAGCCACGGCCCCATTGTGACATAAAGTCTGTTTTTTTTAAAAAAGATAATTCTCAAGTCAAAAATTTAGTAACTATGTTGGCAACACAAGCCTTTTCTACATAAAAAATTTGAAAGCATTGACAATTTTACATTGTATTGCCAACATAATGTCATTTTGACTTTTATCTTTAAAAAAAAACGGACTTTAAATGGGACTTGACGTTTTCTCTTCCCTTAATTGCTGCTTGCATTCCACCATTGCATTCCACATATGCCACCCATCATTTTTTGTCTGTCAAATGGCCTGTCAAGTGACTACCCTTATGGCCAAGGAATACACACTACTAGAGTAAGTCGTCAGTCGTTTGCGCCAGCGGTCGTAGTTTGGAATTTAAGTTTATGATGAAGCATATTATTTTATTTTCTACTTTACTATTATAGATCCATAATACCTAGGAAACGAAATACGTTAACACACCTATAACAACCTGATCCATAACGCCCGCTTTTGCGGGCGTTATGATCTATAACGCCCGCTTATAATACCTTAAGGTGTTTTTGTTGTTGTTGTTCTATTAATTTGCACTTTACCCTAGGCAGCCACTAAATGTCTGACCGAAAATAATTTTCGGTCTAGCCAGGATTCGAACCCGGTCTACCATCAATGTTTCCCATGTAGTCCAGCGCGTTAACCCACAGGACCACCATCGTTGCCTTGCTTTATGAGATGTTTATAGATATATTAATTTATTTCGTTTCGATGTACAGGTCGCAGGTACAGGTACAGGTCACAGGTGCAGGTACATGTCAAAATACAAAACAATATTCTGTCACACAAGTTTAACTGATTTTGTTAATAACAAATTGATGAAAAAACATTGTGTTGAGTAGAAAATAAAGCATTGTATGCACCACGGGGATTTCAAGATTATAATGCCCTTCAGGCGAAATATATCCCTCGGGCCATAGGCCCTCGGGCTAGTTTCGCCTTCGGGCATTATAATCTACATAATCCCCTTGGTACATAAATAGCTATAATTTTGATTAACATGATAGGCGAAGAGGAACATGCAAACGAGATATGAAAAAAAGTTGTTTGAGAATGTTATAATTAATGTAGTAAAACCAAGTTCGCATAAAGCAAAAGCCCGCGGAATCATAACCTGTGGTGTAACGCCCTACGTCAAAACTAGAAACGACAAGCTGCTACGTCATCGCTGGTGCCTTGACATAGTTAGGGGTGGGGCTTGAGATTTGAACTACACAGGCCTTATGAGGATAGGATATCCTGCAGTCGTAGTGATTATCCTTGCAGGAAACGTATATGCAGGAAACTGAGGTCCAAACAATGAACTATAGCTAAAAACTGGAATGCGCACACATTGCCATATCTGCCAAAAAAATGAAGCCATGAAAGACAGATGCCACAAGGGGGAATGTTGTTTTTTTCTGTTGCTCTCTGTCATATGACGTTTTCGAAAGTTTTGTCATATTTCCCTTCACAGGTTTCATCGATTGGAATACGTGTTGGAAGCAATTTTCGCCATTTAACATAATGAGTGCGACAAAAACAGGTATCCCCTCCGCAGCAGCTGCACTAGGCTTCACGGTTCGTCCTTATGTGTTAGCATTCCAGTTTTTGGTTATAGTTCATTGGGTCCAAAAGTAACCACTTTTCCAGAAACCAGAGGCGTTTTCTCGCGGGGCGAATGGTTCGAACTACGGTTTAAACCAATTTGTAGATGACGTCATCACTTGTGAACGCGAGAAAATGGAAAGTTTGAACCATAGTCTTATGTCAACGGAGAACAAGCCATAAGTCCGGTTCGAACTTTTTTGAACCAGGTTCAATGTGACGTCACTGGTTCAACGCAAGAATGTACAGGTTCGAACCTAATTGAACCGGGTCGAACCAGTTCCACCGCGAGAAAACAGCTCAGGAGTAATTACTTAAGCCCGGGACACATCTATCATACATTCTTCCGATCCGACTCCGATCATACAATCAGGGTCCTTATTCTTGGAACAGAGAGCAGTGTTCCTAGGCGTTCTCCTGGGAACGCTGCTCGCCTATTCCAAGAATAAGGACCTTGATTGTATGATCGGAGTCGGATCGGAAGAATGTGTGATAGATGTGTCCCGGCCTTTATTCGATTACTTTCGAACCGCTTTTCTGTCGTTGCCAGTGTTGCCAAAACTTTTGTTTTTTTTAGTTGAGGAGCGATGATCAGGAGCATTAACCCTCAGATTTGACTGGATTTAACCCATTTCCCAAAAAAATCATAAATAACAAATATTTTTATACGATGATGTCAGAATAGAAGGTTTTTCGGATGCATGAGACTCCGACCTCATAGAAAAAAGCGTTCAATACAAAAGTTCCAAGATTTCTTCTTCTCTACAAAATGCCGTAACACGGCGAGTAAAAATCAATCGAGAAGAAGCCACACGCGTTATCGTTTGTCTCACTTTAATTAGGAGGGACCCAGAGGAAAGGAAATCTGCCTTCTTTGTCAGCGATGATGTCAATGGCTTGTTCTCGTTTGATTTTTACTCTATTGTGTTTACATTTTACAATATCTCGGAAACGAACAAAAGTTTGCCAACCCTGTAAACTTACCTTCAATGGACACTAAAATATGCCACTTTTGTCTAATTTAACCGACCTCGTACCTCTTACCGTTTGGAAGATAGCAGATAGCAATAATAGTTTTATTCCTTTCACACCTAGGAGTTCCAGAATAGCTCCGGGGCGTTACGCGCTTATTATCCCTTTCGAAAAGTGTTTGTTGCACCACGCGTCCACGCATCTGTCTGTTCCTTTCAAATGGGGGGGGCGACTAGCACCGGAGCGAGTAGCTTGAGTGTTCTAAACACAGAACGTTCTAAACTCTTTAAAGGAATACAACTAGTGGTATCACTTAAAACGCCCTCCCTTTATATTCCTTCACATTTCACGTTGGTAAGCAATTCGCAACTTTGGGATCAGCGAGGTGTTTTCAAACTTGATTACTATCATCCCGGTGAAATATAACCGGGTTGTCGAATCTCGAATCGTGAATGCACCGCAAGGAAAAGTAAATATTTGCTAGAAAATGGAATGGGATTTAGATCAATGATTTTAGATCTACTCGTCTTGCTCCGTGCGCTCCGTTCTGTGTAACAACTAACAACACGTTCGGGCGAGACAATTTTAGAAACGAAATTTTTGAAAAGAAGTCACTCTTTATGAGTTATTCACCGGTCACAACAATCTTGAACGGTAATAGAATATTTCCCCTTATAAGAATTTTCGTCTCCTATTTCTGCCTCCGAGTCTAACAGGACGGGACCAAGCACACCACAACCTTATAGGATTGCTTATTTTGCTGAATCTGAAAGTCCCATTTCAGCCGCAGACGTCAACTCTTGGCGTGAAATGCAAAATCAAATTCAACTCAACACAGTCAAAACTAAATCACAACTTACTACTGTCTTACTATCGAGACTCGTTCCACTAATTATCCCATTACTAACTTATTTGCGTTCCATTCACCACTAACTAATTTTCGACACACTGGCGTCTAATTTATCATTGACTTTTCCCTTGGTGGCCGACTCCGTTTTATAACGCGTCGTTGCTTCTGAAATTTGGAAGATTATCTGTAGGTATATACCTACCTACGCAACTCTCTAGAACATGTTGGTAGGAGTATCAAGCACATTTGTAGGATTTGGGCTTCAGGGAATCCAAGAGAATTCTACAAAGGGAATCATCAACATTCAATCAGTGATCAAATATGCCAAGCTGGTCTGTTACATTTGAGAGAATCCGATATATGTGGAGTTTAAGAAGAGATGGATCATGGAAAAGCTACCCAGCATTGGTACCAGTGATACGAGGCCCGAATCCTCAGGCAATGCGATATTCATTCTCCTCAAATTTATTTACCTAGACAAGACTTATTTGCTAATTATATCTTTCACTTGAGTAGCAACGCAGATGAACTGAAGAAAATGTTACAAGAACTAAACTAAACATAAAGCTCCCTATCATCATATCAGTGTCGACAGTTCTAGTTCTAAATAAACTGAAAAGTATTTTATATTTTTCAGATCGACGTTCAACCGGAAATCAAGTTGAACAGATTGACTTTGTAGAAGGAATATAATAATAGAGTAATTATAAATTTAGTCACATAGCATAGCTGAAGTATTGCATGACAGACACATCAATAATTATTAGTAAAATTATACTTATATAATTTAACTCATTGATTAATTTATTTCCAGCAAGAAATTACCATAATACCTAGACATTTGCGTGTAATCAATGAATATCACAGTCGCTATGGCACCTATAAGCAAACAACTTCACACGAAATCGTTTCGTGATTGGAGCACGTTTCCCCTCAAAAACCGTCCTGTTTAATCGATAATCCTGAATACTTGCCAAAATTTCATCAGTCTAATCCAATTCAAGATGAAGTTAACAAGTAAAACCGGTTTAACTGCCAGCCCTACTAAAAAAATACCAAAATTTACCAAACCGAAAAACGTATCTCAACTGCGAGCTGTTGCAAAACCTGCACCGTATGTATTAAAACCCTATTCCGGTTTATATAATCCGTATTCGACCGGTTGTTCTTTACTTTGCAATCATCCCATGGACAAAGAAGCCAAAGAACTCTTTAGAAGAGCCAAAGAAAATTGGACAAGCGAAGGCCGAAGAAATATTTTGCATGCAGAAGAAATAGCATTGATTAAAGCCAATTTAAAAACCCCTAGACCTCATGTATTGTCGCAAGTTGAAAGTGTTCCAGAAGAACTATTTAGACGTTACACAGAAACAGATTCTCGTCCATTAACTCCAGCACCAACTCTAGCTAGTGCAGCTACAAGAGCTTCAGGTTCTAGAAGATGTGTAACTCCAGAAGCCTGTACTCGACACCCAAAAGCTCAGTTAGTGCTAGATTTAAGAAGAACCCATAGTCAAGAAACCATTTCTTATAGTGCTTCACTTCACGAACCACCATTAATTCGGATACAACATGTTCCAACTCGAGCTGCCAGTTTAGAAGAAATACCACAGCATAGCAATAATGTAGGTTCTAATCATAGCTTACCAATTCAGTCACCAAGAAAAGCTAAAACCGCTATTAATAATAGTAGTAAAATAAATTTGACTGTTATCAAAACTGAGAAACAGGAAGATCAGGTCAGCGGTGATAATAATGCTAATCTTAATGAAGAGGAGGAAGATTTTATTAAAAGACGTGGCAAAAAAAAGAAGAAAAAAGAACGAGATGCTTCTAGAGGCCCTCCAGCCTTTCAAGCATCACTAGATCCAGAAACTCAAGTGGCAGCTATCGGAACTGATTCAGCGAATCATAGTGCTAGAACTTCTTTAGTTCCCAATAATACTTCACAAGACGCTTTGGAAGAATCTAGTAAAAATTATATAAATAAAAACACAAATAATAAATTAATAAGAAGTCACAAAAGTTTGGAAATTGACTCGTATTTAGATACAGAAATCTTAAAGCAACTTCGCAGGGAATTAAATGAAGAAATTGTAGATAACGAGTTGAATTTGAAGAGAAGAAAGGCTTTACAAGAAGCATTAAAAGCCATATCAAAAGATAAGTCTGATTGTGAAGAATTAATTAAATTGCAAAACGAACTTAAGGTGCCGTCTTTGAATGCCGATTTATGGATAACGTTGCCAAGAAATTTTACAAGATCAAGTGCGAGATTTGAATTGCCAATGGACAGTAGATCGTTATCTACAATGACCCCCATCGCTTACATTAGAGACCACGTTAGCGTTTCTTCAGAGAGAAAATTATTATTCAATTGTATCTTCAATAAGTTTAAAATGGAAGCCGATTTAGAAAACGAACACGAAAGAAAACTTTCTGGTAAAGCATTACAAGACGCATTGGATCTTCTAATGGGCAGACCAATGAAAACTGAAGAAGCTTTCAAGTTTAGGAATCTTGTTGGTTGGAATAGTGATGACGTAATCGATTTTCGGACTTTTTGTGGAATAGCGGCGTTATGTGAACGGATTATGGCTCCATTTTATTGTCGCAGGTTAGCAGACCGTAAGAGTGATCCTTGTCATGAGATCGAAATTGCGGATTTTGAGGTTTTGGATAGAAAAATTAGTGGAAAAATTATTGATGAGCGACTAATTCAAATTCTGAATGATATTAAGACTCTGTGATAAATAATTGGCTCACATGAAGACACAAGCATTTGGTAAAATTTCTACATTTTATATTTTCTGGGTGATACCTCATTATATTGGCAAGGAAACTGAAAAGTTGCAAAAGGCAACGAAATATTTTGCTTGAAGAAGACACAGAAACAGTTTAGGTTGGTCAAATAAGAATCCCTAGACCTCTTACATTATCTATCGCAAGCTAAAATTAACTACAGTAAGTAACTTTAGCCAATGAAGTCACCAGAGCTTCAAATTCTAGAAAATCTGCAACTTTGTGATCAAAAGCCTAATAATCAGTATTGGATTTAAAAAGTCATACCCATTCGGATAGTTGAAAAATCATTTCTTACATTGCTTTACTCCACAAAATATACCTCTATCATCGATTTGAATACAAATAGTGAACGACGAAGAAAAGACCATCTCAAAGGGGATGAAAAAAGCACGAGCTGCTTGCTGCTTCTATAGAGATATTGCAGCTTTTCGAGCATTTCCAGATTTAGATGCTCGATTTGGCTATTAAATGATTGTCGACTTCTTTTAATTCCCAATACTGATTCACAGGGGATTTTGATGAGATTTTCAATTTTACGTGATTATAACGTGGTAACTGTTTCATAACTTGTAATAAAAATATTTGAAATTGAATGAGACTTTGTTTTTTTTTTTGCTGGCAAAATTACTTCTTAGGTAGATAGGTACCTACCTACTAACTTTGTACTTTGTAACTCCAACTAATGACTTCTGTCTGGCAATGTTAGGTAGGCATTAATCACCTTGCCTAAAATTGATGAATATATATTGTCACGGATTCCGCGGGTGGACAATTCTCTTATTTCAACCAACAACTGCCTAAATACGGTCCAGCTACCGCACCAAAAAATCTAGACTTACAAGAAATCCTAAAAAAGGAATTAAAGAGACAGAGAAAATCAAAAATTTTGTAGGGACAGAATTTACGTTGTGCTCTACATCTACATCTAAGGATGAAGTACAAATGAAGCATGTAATGGAAGATTTTTCAGATGGCGAAATGCTTTTAGAAACCCCAAGTAAGAAGATACTTCAAATGGAATCATCTCAGAAATTTTAATCATAATGGAGAAATATAAGACGCTTCACGCTGTCGCCTATGAACATCAATGGTATCTATATTGGTAGATGTATTAGAATATAGAACAAAAACAAATACCGACTCAAAGTTTTAGAATCTGAGCTGATACTATTACTTGGCCTAAGGCTGACGACATTGCCGAAGTAGGTAGATAAAACATAGGTACATATTTCATAGTCCCATTGAGTTATTAGGTAACGGTCAATTTCAATTGAAAAGAGCTGACGTATTATGAATTCCTAAAAAATATAAGATCGAGCATCAGATTATGAGACAAAGTAGTTAATTAGCTCAATAATAAGTTAGTTTTTCAATATATCATGTTGAATTTAAACAATTATAATTCCTTCCTATTCGAGTGTGTATATTATTTGGCAGTGGCTAGGTAGCCGGTACCGGTGACTGTTTTTGAGGCCGGTTACCCAGAATTGGTCGAAATTCAGTGGGCGGAACTACCGGTTAAGAACTTCGTTGGAGTTGAAAAGTACATCGATTTATAAACAAGAGCTTGGTGGTAGCCCCGAAACAATTTATATGCGACGTTGCAATTTTTGGCATTTTCATGTTTGGACTGGAATCAGTGCCACGCCATCACAGTTATTTATATTATTATTATCCCAGCCTTTTGAGTTTTGAGTGGACACAGAATATAATAACTTTTCATAATTTGATTATACTGCTTATGATTGTCGAAGCAATGTCAAAAAGAGCGAATCTCGCTGTTATGAGTACTAGGCTTAAGGAACACAATTTTTCTCAAGGGTGTGCGGAAAGATTAGGTACACATGGCTGTTTTCAATCCCTAGTAGGACTGCTTATTGAGCTAAAAGTGTCAGCTGCATACCTCAACTCTTGGAGTAAAATGCATTATTCGAGTTTGTTTAAAGCACACAAAAAAATTAATTCCTAAACGTTAAAATCTTGTTAAAAATCACCTTTTCTACATTTAAAATCGACGAAAAAATCAAATAACGAGCACAGCTTGAATCGCAAGCCTTACATCGAGGTCTGCGGGTGACGTCATCACTATTTGCAGCTGTGGCGATGTCAGTCGCAGACCCTGCCTGCTCAAGAATTGGTGAACGTACACCTTATTAGGATGAGCAATCCTGTTCACGATTGTTGTATAAAAATGTCGAAAATTCCAACAGAATCCAAATCTTTGATTGCAAACAAACTAGCATCTGCTAAAAGTTTTTTCTGATCATTGAAAAATAAACAATTCTCGTCAAAAATCATTTTCTGTAACTTGAAAACATTACCTACATAATTTAAAAACTGCTGTTTTCGTCACTCGTTAAACAATAAACATTGTCCGCACCTGTTAGGAAAATCTAACCCAAACAAAATAATATACTTTGACGTTGACGTCAATTTGGCAACGCAGCACTCCTTGCCTTAACCTTTTAGAATTGTTTTGAGGCTCCCGCCAAAGCTTGTGATTTATAATAGAACAAATAGTGAAACTTACGGCACAGTTTATACCGTACCGATACAGTTGTACAACTTTCCATATTTTTTGAGGCCAAATTCTCCAACCAATAGGAGCATTTTGACCCATATCTTGCGCTCAATGAGTGAACAAATCTCTCAAATTGAAAAAGCAGTTCGGCATATACATGTCTCTTTCCAATCCTGCACGCAAAAAAGAGATAGAGATAGCTTGGATGAGAACCCGCGAGAAATAACTGTTAAACGAGACACGCAACAGGATTGTATTATAAAAAAAGAAGAGAAGTTTTTTGACTGAAATAGGGAACTTGACAAAAAATTTAAACATGAAAATATTACTATAAATCATAAGAATACATTAATTAAAACCTATATCAGCGAAAAAAACAATTTTTTTTATCGCAAACGGCCACAATAAGGAATTGAAAATGCAGAAAAATTCAAATTATTTCCAGCGGGAAAAAACGCTCTGGTACTGGTCGTGACGTCACGTAGTATGATTTGTCAGTGTCTGTCAGCAACCGTCCATCATACCGTGAGTTCAACTTGAAACACTGAGCACTCGGAGCATTTTCCGTCTTTTTTTCTTATGATGAGAAGAACAGGGATAAACTTTAAACATTTTTCACCAAGTTATTATTGAGTTTTAGGGAATAATATTTGGGGAATACTCTTTCAAGGCATAAATAATTGATTTAAAAAAAAAAAAAAAAAATTGTAAAGTTCCCTATTATTCAGGAAATTGAAAAGAGCCGGAAATCAATTTGAAATTCGGCTTTATTTATTAAGAGTGTTTTGCTTTCCGTGTTATTCGCGATTTTTGTGTACTTGACTATTTTATCGTTTATATATTGTGTATTATCATGGTTGCTTCCTGTTTTGTCTGTAAAAACAACACTAGAACTAGCCCAGGGTTAGGATATTTTAGTTTCCCGAACGATGAAGGACTGTAAGTATTTATATTTACATATTTCATATTAGGTTTACTCTAAACATTCACATAATCTTGATCTGATGAAATAATTCGTCGTTAATTTCACAAAGTGGCATATCTCAAATAAAACCCTGATTTGAGATACGTCACTTTGTGAAATTAACGACGAATTGTCCACATTCCAAAAATGTCTAAATACTGTGATGCAAATCTGGATGGGATTGAAATCCTGGCTGTGTCCTAATGGTCTAAGAGCCGTTTTACACGGCAAAGTTTCTTCACGAAATTATTAATTAATTTCAAAAGTTATATATAAATATACAGAGGGTGTCCCACGACGTTCTACCCAGGTGATTACTTCGGAACGCGTCATTTATTGTAATTGAAATTTTAAGGATCTGGGTAACTTTTTGTGCCAGGGTTGCCAGATGGTTATAACTAATTTCCCCCAAAGGATTTCAAAAATACCCCAAAAATCACTGTTTGTCAACTAAAATCCCCCAAATAAATATAGATTTATTCTCGACTCATACTTGCAAAAAAAAAAAGACAAATTCGTTGAATATTTTAAAATAAAACTCATACCCTTACCACTTTTTTATTTTTTTATATTTTTCTAATCCCAAAAATAAAATGACAATTGACAAATGACAAATGAAATAAAATGTTGTGACTGGTGACAGAACAGATAAGTACAGTTGTACCAAGAAGTTTGGATAGTTTATTATTATATTAAGCTGTATTAAAATTTAGAATACAGCAACTTAGAGGACTACGCACTATAACCGCAAAGAAATGCAAAACGCAAAATAAAAAATAAACAATGCAAGCAACGTCGGTCGTTGGGGATTCCCCCGATCCGATTTGTCAAGTCAATTGTCATTTGTCATTACAAATTAAAATAGATCTAGAACTGAGCGTTTGCGTTCATCCCGAGAAGAAGCAAACTGTATCTTTTTTATTGGTACTTGATTGAAAAAATAGATGGCGCAGTTGTTTTAATACATTTTTTACTTTAGTTTTATTCATTGAAATATACCCGATTTCCCCCAATAGCGAAAATTCTTACAATTCTTACCCCCAAAAAATCCCCCAGAAAAAACTATCCCCCAGATTTTCCCCCATCTACTTGAAAATCCCCCAAATTTGGGGGAAAATCCCCCAATCTAGTAACACTGCTTTCGGTCAAGTGACGGCAACTTTAGAATTTTCCCACGTGGAAAGACGCAGTGGAATATTTCTGTAAGATTGGGATTTCAAGATAAGCGATACTCTATCTGGCGGCAAATTATGGAACTATAGTATGTTTTTTAATCAGAGGGTACACATAAAAGTGTCAGAATGCATTTAGTATAGGTAGTTCATTGGCGTGCCTATATAAGAAAATAAATTTCTCAAAGACAGGTAGGTACGATTTTTATATGTTTTCACATCAATTTTAAACAGGTAAAAAAAAATGAAAATTGGAGGTTTACTGCCAAGTAAATTTGTGAATATAAACCGTAACTATTATTATAGAATCATTATTTTACCTGAGCAAGACATTAGTTAGAGTACTCAGAATTAGATAAATTATCATAATGTTTCTTCTTAAAAATGTAGGTAAAGTCCATTCCAAAATAATTCGTTGACTCTTCAAGTATCAATAAAATGTTGATGATACCCTCAACCACAAAC